AGAGGCGTCACATCTCCAGTAGAGCTGCACTCAAAATGTCTAAAAGCAACACCCTGTGGTCAAAGATGGACCTTTAAGTTTTCAGAAGAAATAAGAAAAATCTATGACCAGACAAGAAAATCACCACCAGCTGTTTTTCTAATGTTTGTCTTGATGAAAAAAAAAACCCAAAATACAATAATTAAACCCTCAAACCAAACTGATAACCAATTGTGTGACTACAGCAGTTCACTGCTGATGAGAAAACAGGACGTCTGAGGAACAGCGTTGGTTAATTCTGCCCTCTGAAAATGAATCATGGCACCATCATTCACACCAGCTCTGAGTGCCAGACGGGTTGTTTAACAGAGCGGATAAATACAGCAGCATCAAGTACCCCCCAGGTGAGCCATTCATTAACAACACCAGCTTCACAGACACATCTATTCACGGATGTTCCCTCACACCTCTTTGTCATCGCCTCATGAAACATTCATGTTCATGGAGAAAAAAAAATGTAATTTAAAAACTAAATGAGCAGAACTTTTCTTGTAGAGGTGGGCTCAACGTGTCTCAGAGGAGCATATAACTCCTTTGTTTTTCTGCGGTCGGTCTCCTGTCTGCAGTCGAAGGCCCTCCATCATCCTGCCCACTCCCCTCCTCACCTTCTCCAGCAGGTAGTTGTTGATGTGTCCTCCGGTGGGATCGCCGTTGAAGTTGAAGTTGATGTCCATGTACTTGCCAAAGCGGCTGGAGTTGTCGTTGCGATTTGTCTTGGCGTTCCCGAAGGCCTCCAGCACGCAGTTGGATTTGAGCAGCACATTCTTCACGCTGGATTTATTTCCCATCACGGTGACCATCGATAGGAGAAACATGTGAGAGAAGAGGGGCCATCAGGGAGGTGGGAAATTAGAGTTAGAGGAAAGAGAAGAAGAGATGATTTATGGCCACATCAAATTCTCATGATCCAATTATTTATTTCTGTTGGATTTGAGAGTAAAAACCCATCTGGATTTACTGCTGTAAAGCTCCACTCACCTCTCAACCTCCTTCCTCTGGCTTGGGTTTGTGATGGCTGCAATGTACTGCATGATGTATTTACTAGCTTCTGTTTTACCTGCACCACTTTCACCTGAAACATAAAACACACACGATGATGAACACGTCAGTATAGACACATATGTTAGTATTTGGTCTCTTTGCTCTTTTTATTTCTTGTATAAATACTGTTGAGTGCTGTAAGTACCTGAATTCAATTAACATAAAGATTCAATGCACAATGAATGAGGACGCAGACATGCATATATTGTACTTGAAATGATAAAGAAAATAAGCATCAGTTGCAGCCCTAGACAGTCTGTCAATGTAGAGCAGAGCCGAACAAGCTGAGATGTGGTAAATATTCAGAGAACAGAGGATGAACTCTTTTGATTTGGTTAATAACATCACATCTCACATCTGGTGCCACACACAGGTCAAACCTCATGATTAAGAGCAGAAAAAGTTTTCTCACCATTTTTTTCAGCATTAATTCAAACCAATAATTTGATGCAACAGGGAGTCTTTCAACAAAACTGCAGAGAATCAAGAATTTGATGTTTGTAATCCAATTTTAATTTGTGGAAAGTCACCTGTAGTTAAAGCTGTCAGCCTCCTCAGGCCAGACACAGCAGAAAGTGAGAGAGTTCACACTTTGCAGGACTCGTGATGTTTAGTGTGAAGACACAAACCTGATATGACGATGCAGGTGTCTTTGGCCCGTCTCTTCATGGCCTTATAGGCAGCATCGGACACTGCATACAAGTGAGGGGGGTTCTCATACAGCTCCCGGCCGCGGTACGCATCAATGGTTTCTTTTCCATAGATGTCCATCTGTTGGTACGGGTTAACAGAGACGACCACTTCTCCGATGTAGGTGTAGATACGGCCCTTCTCAAACCTGCCCAAACACATGTGCAGGTGTCATTCATATGTGTAGACATAGAGACATATATCTGCGTATTTGCATGTTGGTAGAATTCTTAATTTAATGGTTGCAAATAGCTGTTTAGCTTAGGAACATCTGATTCTGAAATATCTGATTGGTCCCTTAAGTGCACCTGTTCTGTCCTTTAGGTAGTTGTAGAGAAATCTAGAGGAAAGAAAAGAAAGATCCAGTCTTGGTTTCACAGCGTTTTCCCATGACATATTCACACCACCCATAAAAAACCCATAGAGTTAAAAATTCCATAAGCGATCATGCTTTATGTCATATGTAGGTGACAGGAAGTGACACAAGTGTGTGTGTGTACAAGCAGGAAATGAAACTTGTGGTTCAAAGGGCGTCACAGTTTTGTGAAACCTTTTGTGGGTTTTCTTGAGCTGGGAGGGGCAAAATCGGCATGTCATGACGGTTAATGAAGCTAAATAATTACCTTTTTGTTGCACATATAGTTTTATTGAAAGTGTTGTCAAGAGAGTTGGTGATATATGGTCAACATGTTCATCATAATGATTTCAAATGCCAATCTTATTCCTGAGTTTATAGGACATACAGGCATTATACTAGTCTATTGTTTTCTGGATCGTTCGTGTGGTTCTTGTCAACACATAAAGTCCGGAAATGTAATGTGACCACAGGAGCATTAAACAGGTGTTCGGGACATCACTGATAATAGGTCAATAATGATATATATGATAAAAGCCAGGCATAAAAGTATGAGTAATAAATGATCAAAGGTGGAAACTAATGTATTAACTTCACTTAAGTACAACTGTATTACTGTTACTTTAAGTTACTTTGGAGACAAAGATTGTACACATACAATATGAATCAAAAGACCCCTGCACACTGTCTTCTTCACTTTCAGCAGGTTTCGATACACAGACCTGATTTATTTATAAACTGATGATGGTCTGTGTACGTGTAACGTGTGGGAGAGTCTCTTGTTCTATATTGATGACTTGTGGTCGTCAAGGTGTGCAAAGGTTGTGTTATTGTCACACATGAAATATACAAACGTAGAATGAGCTGTACCAATGCTCTAACTACCGTACAGCATCTAAAGTAGTTGGAGTCACTTGGACCCGCTGTTTATATGTTAAGGGACCATTATGTAGGATTTAGTGGCATCTAGTGGTGTGGTTGCTGGTTGCAACACCCTCGCCTCAACCTCTCGTTTCAAGCGTGAAGGAGAAACTGATGCAAAAAAACTGTAGTTTCTCAAGAGCCAGTGTTTCATTTGCCTCTGCTGGGCTACTGTAGAAACAAGGCGGACTCCGCCATGGCACAAGGGAAACAGCTTTAAGGTAACGAAAAGCACAGCGATTTTTATTTAAAATTTTCCTGTGAATATTATATTGAATTGGGCAGGAGGATGAACTGACACACAGCTACAGAGGATGATGGCTGAGTCACTGAACAGGTTGTTTATATAAAACATTTTTGGGTTAAATTATCACAGACAGCAGGGAATGGTCTAGCAGTGGGGTCAGAGTTGGGTTTGGTGTTAAAAAAAAAATAGAGAAGTCACCCCAGTCTCCTTCCTGGTAATATACTGACCAATCAGGCAACAGGAGGCAACAGTAACATGTGAGGCTATGTGGGATAAGGAGCACAAATCCTGTATTGTCTGCTGTGACTGTTACATTAAATGCATCAGCTCGACCACTGATGTCTTATTAATGAAAACATATTCAAGTCCTGATCTCTGGTAGTTTAAAAGTGTAATTCTTCTTTTAATAAAGAAGAGGACCAAGACCTCTTTGTCCACCAACCTTCATTTATATGCTGACAGAGAACCCAACATACTCATCTCTGTACCAATAGTGATCTATAGACCAGTCTATAAATGTGAACAGGTAAAGGAAAACAGTGCAAATGCAAACACCTGAACTCACACATAGATATGGGGAAAAAAACTGCAGCAAATCATTAAAGTTGGCACATATCAGCACAAACTTTACAACCAGCTTATGCTTCTCCAGCAGACAAGTCCGATCAAGCTGTGTGATGAAACTCTACATACATTATTTGCCAACCAATAATGACAGACAGACGCTAAGCCAGGGTAACTATGTGAAAAATGTTAAGTGTGAGCTCTAAATCCAGAGCTTATTTTGACATTGTTTGACATTTTGCTGCCTCTGCTGATCCTCAGATGACTGACTGTGCTGAACTGTGATTTTCTCACAGTTTGAACCGAGGACACGTTGCGTCCCGCAAAAAGATACGGAGGAAGTGATAAAGTGATCGAGAAACAAAAGTCTGGACTCTGGAAGCGTTACGCATCTTAAGAGCAGAAAAGGTCACAAAACAAGACAAAAGAAGTCACGTTTACATATTTAAGTTAGACAGGTTTGGTGAGACTATGTTGTATTTGTGCCATGTGCTTCTATTGGCTCACATGACAGCTCGTGTTCAGTGTGGTGGCGATCGTATAAACCACAGGTATATAATGTGAACCCCGAGGGTGAGCGGGAAAGCCAAAGCATTAGCGACTCATGCTTGTTTCTCTACATCTACCGTTATGTTTCATCTTTTCATCTCTTCTTACTTGAGAGAAGTCATCAAGATATTGTCAATTTGGGTGATTTAGAACAGTTAAGTTTACCTTAATCTTACTTATTTTACTCTCATTTTTTACATATTTCACAGGATAAGACTTGAAGAAACATGCCGTTTCCTTCATATATCTTTTATGTATGAAGCGTTACTCTCTGCATCTCTGACACACAGCTGCTTCCCCCCTCTTCCCCTCCCTTCCTCTTCTCTGACAGTATCACAGGCCTTACCTCAGCTTCAGATTCTCCATAAACTGCTCCATCGTCACCTCATCCAGGAGCACAAAGTCTGACTTCCCAAACTCCAGGCCCTCCAGCTCCGCCATTCCCCCTGTCTGTATTTCACCAAACACAAACAAACAAAAATAAAAAAAAAATACGAACAAGACACAGAGGAACAGAAAGCAGCTCAAGGAAGAAGAAGAAACAGAAGTATGGTCGACTTCTGGGCCCCGGTAGTGTAGACAGTCTGCTGTGGGCGTGGTGAACTGGATGATTTCTAGGGTGTGCTTAGTCAAGTCACACACAGAGAGCTGTGGTCTACAAGCTACAGCACGTCATCCTGTCAGTCAGCCCATGCCCTCACGCAGAGCTATATAAATAGCAGGAGGCTATCTTTGAGAGCTCATACCACTTCTGCATCCTCCTCCGTCTCTCTCTTCCTGCCACAAGGCTTCCAAATTTCAAAACTGTCACTAAACAGTGTGACTCTCACTGCAAGGTATTGCTTTTCTTCAAGCATGGTTTTGTGTGTGTGTGTGTGTGTGTGTTTTTTTTTTCTTCCCAGGAACAGGAACCCACATCTGACATGCTGCCAGGCAAGAGCAGTTAACCTTGCAAATTTGGGGGTAGAAAATGGTCTTTATCTCCTGGGAAGGATCGTGGCATTTCCTTTCTAAACTTGGCACTGGCAGCACAACGTGTCCCTTAGGGTTTGCTCTAATCCAGAGGTTCCCATCTCGCAGCAGGGCCAAGCTGCAACTTGAGAAACTCTTGGTTTTTTGGATGCTGGAGCCAAAAAAGGTTTAGCAGTGTTGTTTGTCATGTGAGACAAATGTAAGTGTGTAGGTGTGTGTGCGATTAAGTTCGAGTAAGTGTGTGTGGGAAAGCTGACTAAGGCAGAGACAGTTGATTTCTAAATCCCCTTTGACACCACTTTTCTGTAAATTGGGAACCTTTTCAAGAACCTTTCGAGGTCTTTTTCCACCCGAGGTTCAAACTTAAAAGAAGTCAATTAAAGAAGGGAAACAAAGGAAGAGAAATCTAACTAATAAACAACAAAGACCAAAGCTTCCTGTGTCGCTGTTCATGCCACTGCAAAACAAAACCAAGAGGTGGGAAGTGACAATGTGCAAGTACTTTGTTATTTAAATGAACAGTGTGTAGGATTTAGTGGCATTTAGTGGCAGATTGCAACTAACTGAACACTGCTCGCTTCTGTATTTGACAACCTGGGAACCAACATCAAGTCATGACATACGTAACAAGATGAAAACAACTAAAGAGACACACACACACACACACATCAACTACAACACACTTCCTACAATCTCTGACAAACACACAAAGTTTTTGTTTTATGATATTTTCTTGATTGGCTGCTCGAATATTACAGTTTTTTTTTTGTATACTTTCTCAATGCTTTGGCAAAGTTGTCTTTGTTACACTCATCATCATCATTGAACAATTTAAATTCAGTTCAGAGCCTGAACTTGTTCACGTTGAGTGAAGAATGTGAGTACATTTGACACCTCTGCTAAAACACTTAACATCCTCTGACACATCCTCCTAACTGTAACTGATCTTGTGAATGAACTACAGAGTCAGTGACTACTTTGAACTCTCTGTACTATCTGTAGATCTGCACACTGCTTCAGCGGAGAGTGAAGGTCAAGATACACTGAAGTGATGATCTTGACGTTTTGTGCCTCATCGACAGCTGCAGGCCAATCTCCAACATGTTTGAGCAGTCTGTGTTTATCTTTCTGAGCGCAGGCAGAGTGACACAGCTCAGTTCATGACTCAGATGGGTGGTTTTTTTTTCCATGATGAGCAAAATCCATGACTGCCTTGATGTATTATTGTTTCATGAATAGAGTTTGTGATAAGGAAAAAAACAACTTTTAAAAAGTGTACACACAAGAAGGCAGAATGTAATTTTGATATGATATTTCTTGTTTATGTCAGTCTTTTCACTTAGAATTTAAAGGTTCAGTTCACCCAAAAACAAACAAAACCATATTTTCTCTCTTACTTCTAGTTTTGGTTTTATTTGTCCAGGTTTTGAAATCAGTACCTTCTTAAAACCCATTTTTATAGACTCGCTTTTAATAATATTATTGCTTTTATTCTCTCTCAGTTCTGTATTCATTTATATTTAATTTAATTTTTTAATGGCTACCGCTTTTACTGTCCTTATCTTACCATACCCTACCATGTTTGTTTTTTCTTCTTCTTGTTCTTTATTTCTGTTCTGCCTGTTCTTTGGTTCTCTGTTGTTGTATTGTCCTGTTCTTTCTTTGTCTATTAAAGCACATTGTAAACTCTGTTTTTAAAGATCCTTCAAAGAGTTATTATTATAAATATGTTTGAAAAACCTGCATTTTATCTATTTGTGCATTTATTTATCTTATTTTGGTAAATTAAGATTTTCATTGCTGGACAAAACGTCCCAACTCGTTCAAACAGCACAGAGAGTTGAAAGCTCTGGATAAGCTGCTTAATGGACCTTAACTTCAAACAGTTCTGTGATCATGATCAAGGTTAAGATCTGTGATGCTCAATTAACTTTATTAATACTTTTTTTTCAATTAAAAGTTTCAAGTAAGCATGGACAAGAAGTCCTAACAGTTCTAGGGATGAAATCATAACTAGTGAGGTTGCACGTCTCCATGACAACAGAGCAACCTCCATCCAGTGATGAAGAAGATGTGATACAGCTGAAAGAACCTGTGAAGAAAAAAAAAGGTAATTGGACCCTGAGTTGGGATTGTTTTGTCAATCCACAATTTCTAGTCAAGATTGGGACTGTTTTAGTAATTTGGGTGAAGGTCAATGGGTCAATAAACTATAAATTGAGTCAAAATTCATTGTCAGACTCACCCAGTAGATTATCCTGATTATGTGTAAACCTTGAATTTATTTATACCTATTTTTCCTACTGTTTTCAATTGTCCTTTTGGTTTAGCTGTGCTCTGTGTGCCTTGACCGCCTGTCCTAGGCTGTTTTAATTATCTGGTTTCTTTATTTCTGACATCTGAAACTCACAAGAGAAACTATACTATAACCTCCCATCAGGGGCTGGTAGTCATTAAAGTCTCTTCGCTTGTACTCTTCTCTGTTGCAAGCAAAAGGATCGTCATTCTTAGTCTTAACACCAATGTCTTATTACACAACAATTTCTTGGAAGCAATGTGTGTCACATGTCTTCAACTGAACATCAAACTGTTAAGGCTACTGAATGTATGACCCTGTTATTTTAGGTTTACAAATGCAGCACCACAAATAAGAGGAAAAAAAGCAGAGATGAGAGAAGAGATAGAAGACTTGTAGAAGGAACCCCGCCTCAATAAGCTATAAGCATTTACAAAAGTTATGCAATCTACAACCACAATCAAAAGGCATACATACAAAGGAATATTAATCAAGCACAAAAACATACATAGAGAGATTATGTGTGTTTGCACGCATGTACAGAAGAGAGGGTCAATTATAGTCACATATGATCAGTTCGGGAAGTGAATATAACTGTTTCATCCTCCCCTTGCCCTTTATGAAAAGTAAAATAAATATTTAATATTTACACATATTGTCAGACTTCCAAACAACCATCTGTCCATCAGACGTCACGTTGCCCCTGGCAACAGATAAAAAACAAACAGGGGGAAACCACAGCACTAAACATGAGAGATTTCTCATCAGACTGATTTGTCTTTTGGTTATTACTGTAAGAAAAGACCTCTGAGTCATATGAGTGCAGCCCTGTTTGAACAGTCTCATAAGTTCATATTTAATACAAACATTGATTGGAAGAATCATGAGTAAAGGGACTTTACCATAAGTCTGAAACATTTAACACCTACCTACTGTAGAGCATTCATCAGTGTGTGGACAGCCTGTTCTTTTTTTAGTCCTTAGATGAATCTAAAAGTCTTTACACTATATATGGTAACATTGTCCAGTCGAGCATCCAGTTATCGTTCCTGTAACTACTTTCCTGTTAGATCCTCTCCAGCCATAAGTACTTCCTCTCAGTGTACCGTCAGACTGTTTCACTTCCTCTCACGTCTGTTTCTGTCTCCCTCTAGATGTTGCATTCAGGTGTTACACTAACAACATCAACAGTTTGCACACTCACAGTAGCCCCAGATGCCCAATGTAATTATGACAGAGCACAAACACATAGAGATGAAAGAGGCATAAATCTCATTATCACATTTCCTTCAAATCACCCAAATGGCCATTTGTGTAATTAATTGTCATATTTATTCTTCTGTTTTTTTCCCCCCTTTTGCATAAATTATATTTTAGCCGTTCAGCTGATTCTCTTATCCAGTGTACAGATGTAGAATCAGATCCAGATCACCGACATTTACAGTGCAAAGAAAACAGTAAATTATAAATGTGTGAGAAATGTTAACGGCTGTAAACAGTATAAAGTTATTCTTGTGCACAGGTTATTAGTGTTACAGTGTGATAAGAAATTTATCATGAGACAGTATCAGGCTCATAAAATCATTGCACCGCCTAACAACATTCATCAATCTGAGTGATTCAGTTTAAATTTTACACTTCAAACAGTAGCTGTAGTCAAGACCCGCTCTGTTGAGTCCAAAAGTCCAAGAAGAGGATTAGCAGAGACCGAAGTTGTTGTGATGTTCGGACTCCAGTAGCACTGACTTAAACAATAATCAATTAAAATGTTCTAAGCTGCTGACAGTAACTACAGATTTACTGTACAGACACGTGTCTCACATATCAGAATCACTACGGGCCTCAAAGATCCAGTATTCAGTATTCAGTATTGAAACCTGTTACTCAGTAAGACAAATAACAGGTACTTCATTTTAGTGCTGTTCATTTTCTCTTCATATTTTTCCATGGAAGCTGTAAGAACCCAATGAAACCTTTCTTGGGTGATTTAGTAGATTTAGTGATTCTGTTTTCCGTGTCTTCCACGTTGTCGTTGACCCTTCCCGCTCTGCTTTTTTGGCGGGACTCAGAGTGGCTTCTTCTCCTGAAAGATGAGAACCATTTAGAAACTCTGCCCTTTTGCTCACGACCTTCCCGTTTATCATCTGGGTACTTTGACGGAGTGTAACCTGCAGCTCCAGCAGGAGGCGGATTGGCGACAGCACCGTTATCTCCACCTGTGTTTTTTCGACTGATTGGTGGTAGAGAGCTGCTCCTGCCTCTGGGGGTTTTGTCCATTGTCCTTCCTGTACGTCCTGACCGGTCAACCGGCCTCCCCAACAGCCTCTGCTTTAACTCGTAGCTCTCACCAGACGGTCCTATGAGCTGGAGTTTGTCATTCTTCTCACATACGAACACTGAATAATGAGTGTTTCCGCCTCTCTTGATCCTCCCTAGAAGAGCTCGGCCGTCACGATCCATGTCCTTAAGAGGAACTTCCTGCGTGCGTAGTGATTTGTTGAGATTGTTCAGGAGACTCTGTAGTTCACCGACAGCGTTCCCTGCGTTCTTTCCGACTAAAGTGAGATTGAAGCTATCGCCAACCGGCTGCACTCCCATTGTGACTTCATGGCTGTTCAGAATACCCTCGATTTCTTTTCTCCTGAGCCGGTCTGCGTAAGTAAACACATCCCCATCAACGATAAAGCACTCTCCTTCAGGTCTGACTGAGCTCCGCTGGTCCGGTCTCGGAGAAAAAGAAGCTCTGTGCTCTGGAGAGGTTTGGTGGTTGTTCGGAGAGCCGGACGCCCAAGGTGAGGAGGTCTTGGGTGAAGATTGAGAAGCATGCGGAGGCTTGTTTCGGGATCCTGACCGGCTTCTGTAACCATCTGAGCTGCTGCTGGGGTGGTGTTTGGGAACGGCTCCAGAGGAAACCGTTGGGACCAGTGAGGATGAGGACGGCGTGATGTCTGTCTTGGTTTGTGAGTTAATAAGTGGCTCCAGAACGGCTTTTGCAGCTTTAAGTCTCAGAAATGACCCCTTGACAAGCACTCGATCGCTGCCCAGATCTGTCAACGTAAAGCCGTACGCTCTGAGGATTTCTCGCGCTACTGTCTCATTGTGGCACATACCCAAATGCACCTTCGCCTCCACTGGGAAATCCATCTGAGAATAAGATGTAGAGAAAAAAAACACTCACAAAGAGCTCGTAGACAATCCTGAATAAGTGAATAAATAAGATTAATCTATAAATGTGCTGCAATGTTCAGTTACCTCAAAGTGTTCGGCTGCTTTCACGTTTATATTGTATAAATTATATTGTTGATGCAACAGGAGAGAGATCTTTTACAAGACTCGAGCAGCAACTGTGGGAAGAAATAAACGACTTCACTTACTGACTGATTGATTGATGTAACGTCACATAGTAGTATCAAACTTTATTTACTCTGCCTCAAAGAACAGAAATGAAATGAATGTATCTGCCAGGAGGCTGACACGAGTTCAAATACATATCTGTATTATATAGAAGTCATGTATGGAGGGCAAAGGCCGTATTTTGAGGTCAAAAACAAATTTTTCTACCATTTAAAATGTAATAATGTGAACCTTACTATCAGATATATGAGAGAAATGACATAAAAAACAAAATGTCAAATAAATATTATAAAATATATAATGAAAATAGTGGTCACTGATGCTGCTGTGTAACAAAAAGTCTCTTATTTTGAAAAAAAGAATCACACTTGACTTCCTTTTATCTACTTGCTGAAGATATTTGAATTTTATCTCATGATTTCATATGAAGCTCTTAGTTGTAGTCTAGTGTGACCTTTGTTATTGTAGGGAATTGTAAAAAAGTAAAGTATAAATGGATTAAATTATATATATTTAGTGAGTATACCATGATGGACAACATGTGCTTTTAAGCCCTGTAGCAGCCATTTTGTAAAAGGCATTACCGTCTGGTGTTACCGTCACTTTCCTGTGTGTCCTTATGTGTTTTTATGGGTTCTTATATGTGACGACAGTGAAGATCAGTCTTATTTTTGTTTTTACTGTGTTTTGTCTTTCATATTAAATAAAATCTAAAATAACTTTACATCCATTGCATTTAGCTACATGTAAGAGTTAAGATTTAAAGGTCATTACTTGTTCATAAGTAATAATAATAAGAGTCATAAACATAATTGAATCACACTGTTAACAAACCTGGTTTAAACCTGTAAAAGAAATGTGTTGCACTGCCATAAATCTTCTGTGACACTGACTACATGTGCTGAAGAGATTGAGAAATAATATGTAATACAATCCTTTAATAAAATAATAAGGTGACAAAAAGACGGCCAATGTTCAAATGCACAAAAAAAACCATTTATGTATATTTATAAACTCAAAGAGTTATTTAATAATGTGGTTTAAGTTTAAATGTTGGAAAAATAAAAGTGTACATTTCTGTAGAACAACACAAATACTTCTCAGCTATCTTTAGAGGTAGTATAATATATATTAGTGGTAGTATAATAAAGGTCTATTATTGGTAGTGATCACTGCAATATATTTCATTCATTGAAGCAGAAACAAGGAAGTTACATTGTTCTGTAGACTGTGGCGCCCCCTGTGGACAAAGAGCGGTAGTGCTTCCACCACCTTATTGGTGTTGTGTGCTTATGTAGGTCATAGAGAGACATCAGCATTAATTAGTTTCATAACCAGTTTAAAACTCCTGGTAGGGTTGAGAATAAGATTTATTATCAAGACAGAAAATTAATGAATGTTCCCAAACTTTTTCCATAAGGGACCTTTTCTTTCTTACTGGGAAGACCTCTGACTGAGGGACATATCTTATAGATATTTCAGAAAGTTTGTATAAAAACAGCAATTTGGCTGAATTTTGAGCAGATTATTTCCTGTAAATATTGATGAAAAATCAGTTTTCTTGATATTTTTAGGAACTTTTAATAAAATGTTCTGCCTGTATTGTGTTTTCTTTTAATTAAAAATCATACATAACAGACAAATTAAGTGTTTTCTTCTCATTGTTCAATCGGCTCTTTGGTTGTTAGAACTTTTCTAAAGCAGGTCGAGGCTGTTTACCAGAGAGAGAAAGCTCTGTGGATATATCTTGTGTTCAGGTCTTCAAATTTTAGATCCTAAATACAGGATTTATTTGTTTTTAAAGCCACACAGGCGCAGGCAGCCCTGTACATCTCAGAGCTGTTTTTAACTGTTCCACTCCAAAGCTTTCATTAAAACCCCTCCCTTAACAAATTTAAGGGAAAACTCAAGACATGTTGTTCATTGTTCTTAGTGGGTTTTAGTTTTTTAATCTTTTTCTTCTTCATAAAGTTCTTACAAGTCTCTGTTTTTACATATTTGTTATTGCCTTATATTTATATATATATATAAATATAGTGTCTGTTATTGGCATTAATTGGCGATATGTGCACTTTAATTTGTACAGCACTTTGGTAAACAGCTTTTAATCGCCTATATAAATAAACCTGATTTAATTTGAATGATTAAATAGTTTATCATGTTAAGTTATAGGACGACTGTGTGTATTTTTTTACTCCTTATACCAGAAGCTCTGGCGACCTCCAGTGAGGGCCCCGAGCCCCAGGTTGAGAACCCCTGCTTTACGGGACACTGACTCACCCTCTGGCTCCTTCACATATGATGACAGCCTGTCAGGGTTAATAACAGAGATACAGCACCTTCAGCACCTCCCCTCCTCCTCCTCCTCCTCCTCCTCTGTGTTTTGACTGTGAGGGAAATAAAACATAAACATCAGGCACACCCAAAACCTCAATCATACTTCCTCTTTTTTTATGTTCCCCTCCATCTTTAAGTGCTGGACACACAGAAAGTGAGCTGTCTTTATACTTTATATTGTGCAGTTTGACTGTGTAGAATAACTAACATTTTAATATTTAAATTAAAGAGGTTTAATCGAAAGTGAAAGTAAATCTGTTGGAGGAAAGTTGAGACTCGATGTTGTTTTAAATTAAAGTTTATGTGGTTTCTATTCGATTAAAGTGTTAGAAATAAGAAGCACAATCTTTGGTAAAGCGACAACTTGTGTTTTCTGATTAGAAATATACACTAACTTACTTATATATATATTTATTTTTAAATAAATAAATACTACGACAACTTATGAGTCCACAATTAGTTCATTCGCTTTTTGTTCTGAATGCAAACTTAAAGAAATGCAAACTGGAAGTAGTCACTGAGTTAGTTTAACTTACTTCATCGTTCAATCTCTGTTTAACATCGGGACGTGACTTTGTTTTTATCGGGTCGGGTGCAACCGAAAGTGACGTCACATCCGCTCCAGATTAACTCCTCCACAATAAAATAACAAAATAAAATCCCACTTTCTTGATATTCTTTGAGTAAGGAAAAGTAGAAATATACCTTAACCCTGTGAAGCCTGAACCATGAAATAATTAAAGTGTTTATTGAACCTTCTGACAAATAAAAAAAAAGAAAGAAATAAAATATAAATTTCCATATATGGGTTTTAATTTGTATAATTTTTGCTACATCCGGTATTTTTGTGCAATTTATTGCTCAGTTTGTTTATCTTAAACATAAAACACAACATTATTAACCGATTGAACTGTGAGTTTCCTCTAAAATTACTAACTAATTTCAAACATACAGAATAACTTTTTTTCCACATTGCACAACAACGTCAAACATATTCTGTATCTGTATGTGTCTCATTGTATACATCAGAAAGATATATCACACTGATGATGTAGAGGTCTCACAAATATCAAATATGATACATTTGGGGTTACAGGGATAAAATAACTAATAATAATAATATGAATATTATTAATAACTCAGCCTGAGGGAAGATTCCTTTTATCAAGAGGGCAAAAAATAAAGATCCCCTCCTGACATCTGTTAAGACTTATAAACAAATAATCAGCTTTAAACAATAATGTGTGTCTGATATGAAAAAAGAAGTATAATTTCCACATTACAATCTTTAAAAAATGCGTCTACTCCTTCTGCCCTATTACATAATGAATATGACCATTAAAAATTAAATTCTTACATTTTCCTGTTGGACACAAAGATGTCTCCTACTTCACTGTAAAGTTCATTCTCAGTGTTTGAGGCTTCAAGTTTCTACATCACACTTTATAATTCAAACTGGATCAAGATTCATCGTCTGCTTTAATATAAACTGCCTGTAGCTGGACTTTGACACCATATCTAAGAACCAGAATTAGGTTTATTGCCACGTTGTTGGTGCATAACAGTAAAAAATATGTAAACGTAAAACACAAATTCACTTTAAGAATATGTAAAATATGTATATACTGTATATTCTGAGGTGAAAAGAGATGTAAGCACCTCTTTGTAAGGATTCAAGAGGTTTTCATGTCATATGCACAGTAAGAAACAGTGGTTTATACGTACAATGAAAATCTTACTTTGCCTGACTCCCTTTACACAACACACAAATAGAAGAGTAAAGTTAAAATATAACTTAAAGTGCAGAACAGTGTAAACAAAGAAACCTGAGATGAGGTGCTTTATTGCTGCTGTAGAACAGGTGGAACTGATGATGTGAATCTGTGATCTACTACCATAATCCACAGATTTCTTTCAGTATAAATATTTATCTCATGATCAACTATCAGCAACAAACTGATCAGATCTCAGTTAACCAAATGGTTGATGTATGGAATAAATTGATTAACTGCGTGAGAGTTCCTTTCTTATTCAGGGGAAAGTTTGTTCGGCTCTGAGGAAAACGTCTGTTGGATCACAGTAAAAACATCTGGAGGGTTTTTTTTTTTCTTCAAATTGGTGTTAATGGAGAATGAAAAACTGTAGGTGGAAATAAACCTCTGATGTGATGCAATATCACCCTCACGTGGATCTGGAACAGTATTACACACAAGCCACAAAATAAATAAAATTAAGGAAAACAATTCCCATCCTCAACTTTTTAAACTAACGAGAAGTCGGTTTGTAAGACTGCCCACAGATAAACTATAAAATAAAATCAATTTCAGGAGATAACTAATCTGTTCTTCAGTGGGTCAAAATCCAAATACTGTTGCTGAAAAGCAGAACGATCAATAATCTCGTGATAACTGAATTTCTGGTTCTATGATGATCCAATAAAACCAATACAATGATACTGTTTCTACAAGCTGGAAAATATATTTTTCACCCAGGAATATAAAAGACACAACCACAGCAAGTGTGTTTATTTTTAGGTTTTAAGTTTATTTATACAAATGAGATTATAAAACTCTGGATAAATTTCCACCCGACTACAGTGTCATCTGAAGGTCAGCAGATGAACTGGTTCTCCAACTCTGGATGAAATCTGCAGATAAAAAAAAAAAAAAAAAAAAAAAAAAAAAAAACCAAAAAACATTTTAATTAATTCTTTGTGAAACATGAAGATCAGACTGACTTTAGAGGATTACTGCATCCTCACCTGCATCAAAGTCTCCTCATACTGGTTGAACCCTGACTGATGTTTGGGGCGCACTCTGGTTGGTTTCAACGAGAGCCACAATATCGATCCCCATCATAACCGGTCGACTCTTCTCATTGAGGCCAGCAGGAACCTGTGAAACAATAAAAACAGTATTTCTCAGATGATTTATTCACTTTATACATTTGTTCATACAAGGAGACTTGAATGAAACTGGATTCTGACAATCCAGGTTTGATTAAATGTTCTTTGTACTAGTTCAGGTAAACGTACCACTTATTCGCCTTCGAGACCTTTGACAAGAGAGACTTCTGCACTCAGCAGCCTCTGAAAGATTTCCACTCCTGTAAAGCAACAGAGTTTGCAGTTAATAGACACTCGAGCAGTACAACAAACATTTCATCTGACTAGAAACCTAAAAAGATGTCGGAGGTTTACCTATAACCCTGCTGCGAGGAGTCACAGCAGGGCCTCAAACAACCTCACGTCTCTCTAGCAGACACTACAGGAAAGAACAGAGCCACTGTAGGCTGAGTCTCGCTGGTGAGGTCTGCACAAGTCTTACAGGTTCAACAAGGTGGCGTCTCATTAGGGGTGTCACAGTGAATTAGGGTGGCTGAACAGCGGGGTATTATCACCATTTGTAGGAGCTACTGCAGGACAATGTTTAACCTCAGTACCTGCTGGTACCAAACCCCCTGCACTCTCCCTCCTCGGTCTGTGACTGTTAACTGACCGTCGCTAGTTAACAGGGTCTGAAACACTGGTGAGCTGTAGGACGCGCCGCAGCTGTTGTGAACCGGGATAAACGGGTGTTTTCTACTATGAGACTGCAGGTGTTTGCAAAGAGAGTCTGCATCTGGCTTCTTAATAGCACAGGATTTCACTATTGCGGTCATTAAGTAATATTAAGATCCGGCAGTCTGAGGTACATTTTTATTATCAACACACTTTAGGTTTCACTAACATGTTGATCAAAACATTCAGCCTATAAAGCAATGAGCAAAAAAAAAAAAAAGGCTTATTCAGATTAGATATAACAATTAATTTTCTATAAATCTACAGTCAACATCTGGCCCTAAATACGACACCATTATTTTCTATCGTTTTATATCTTTAAATGTCTTAACGTGTTGAGAAAGGGGGTTTACTTATCAAATACAGTACTTATTCAACACTAAGGTCATTATAGTTGTATTAAAATGATAAGCCATTTTCAGGCCATGTGTCATCTTTACATTACAAAAACTAACCTGAAGTCATTGAGCATCAGATGTCAGTCAGGAGGTCCGAGCAGAGCGGGGTCTGGGTTCATCTCTGTAGTCCTGTAAAAGAGTATTTTACATTAAGTACTGGACATTTAACAAAAATCAGGCTTTCTGAATTGACTACAGTTCCCTCCAACAAACAGCACAGACTAAAGTACAATATAATGTATGACTTTCAGGATACTTGGTCATTTTAATCAACTTCCAGATGTTTCCATGACTGGAAAACTAGTCTCTAAATGTCCTAGTTTTCCAGGACACATGTGAACTAAAGATTCAGACACACAATGTACCATGAAGGTGAAAGAGTTTAAGTAAGGTCTCACTCTTTACTGCCAACTCTTAAAACAATAGTGTAGTTGGTGTATAAAGTAGAAACCAGTTACATGTTAGTTGTCTACCACAGAGATAACGAAATGTCACAATATCTGGTGTCTGTTATAAAACACACACCAATGTGCCAGCAGCACATTTAAATACTGATTAAATGTATTATGATGATCAGAGAACTGCTCTACCAGAGAGTACCGACAGGCTGAACGCTGTAGTTTGAGTGTTTGCATGCTAAAAACAGATAGTGGAACATAATGAGTAAAACAAAAATAATGTTTGCTGTATAATCTTACATTTATTCTATTCCTAGAAACTATAAACAGTTAAAATCCACTGATTTAGTAGTTAGCAGGAGTGAAAACCTGCACTCTCATCCCTTCATGCCACATGGTCTCCTGCTGTGGTTCAAGGACATTCACTTCAAGGTGAACATGAATTATTAAAACAGCACCCAGACGGTTGTTCAGGCTCATTTTGTGCCAATAATAAAACAATAAATTAACACTTTCCACAGTAATTGTCGGAGGTTTACCTATAACCCTGCCGTGAAGAGTCACAGCAGGGCCTCAAACAACCTCACATCTCTCTAGCAGACACTACAGGAAAGGATAGAGCCACTGCAGGCTGGGCCTCGCTGGAAAGGTCTGCACAATAAACTCTTTAATCCTCCAACAAGTTTACAATCAGCGTGTCAGCGTGTCTTTCCTGTGCTAACACGCTAACACAAGGTTTCTCTCAGTCCAATAAAACAACACACACACACAAACACAAGTTGTTAAAAATAAATAATAAGAAGCAGTCTTACCTCTCCATCTTAATGCTGGATGTCGCACACGTGTATTCAGTCTGTAAACAACAGAAAATAAATAATATTTAAACGTGTTCGCTAGCAGGGGACCGACGCATTTCACAGACTTTAACCGTTTAAAACAACACTTCCTCAACAAAACCGCCATTTTATCACAACCGATCCCCTCTAATAACATTCAACGTCGTCAGAAACTTTATAAATCATTTAATTTACAGCGGATGGAGGCGGATTGTTCACACAAACCTTCAGCTCTCATTCCCGCCGTGCGATCAACTGGACTATCCGTCCGGATGTGACGTACATTTATACACGGGGTCTTCTTCTACTACTTTTTTTTTTGAAGTTGAGTTTAACGACGCACGGGTTCGCCCAGCAGGGGGCGGTGAAACACCAAAGATGAAAGTCCAATTAACTAGTTTTAATACAACTTAAATTACAATAATTAAAGCTTAAGAAAGATCGTATAAAGCGACTAAAGACGAATACTGTAGCAATCGAGTAATATTTATGGAAAAACAAGGTAAAATACTGAATTACTAATACATATTTACTCATTTTAAGGTTATAAAGTGAAGAATAGCTGAATAAACTGAATAATCGGTGAATAAATGAGTATGACAATGAATACGAGTTGAACTGAATTACGAGAATTGGGTTGAAAGAGAATAAAGAAATAAACTGAAGCAGTAAACCCATCCAAAACAAACCAGAATGTAAGTTTATTATAAGGTATTTTAGAGACGATATTGGGAAATAAATTCAAATTAGTTTGACTCACTTCCTCATGCTGAAAATGTCACAATGAGAGCAAATGTGAAAAACAAATCTCTAAACGCCCTTAACACATAAAAAAGGGGAAATTAATGAAACTATGATCACATCATTAAGAAATGACTTTGCATTTTCCCATAAACTGAATAGAGGAAAGTTACCGGTAGGCACATTACAGTAAACATTAAAAAGATATTTACATATAAAATATTCTTACTATTGTACTTTTAAAATCTTTTGTGACAAGTTTTATTTAGCATCATTTTCCCCCAAATTATGTTATACAGGATTTTCAAAATAAAACCAAGCACATATAAAGTGATTTTTTTTAGGCACAACAGACCATCTCTATGTAGGAGGGCTCTTTATAAGCCAGTGGACAGCCGTTGCTGGTGGGTGTCCACGAGGAGGACGCTCGTGGTGGATGACTCAGACTGCATTTGCCCAAACACAAACAATACAGGCCATAGAGGAGCAGACTTCTCTCTTTGGCCGTCTGTTGTGGCCTGCACCATCAGCAGACATCCAGGGATGAATTTCAGCTTTGTTTTCCTGCAGTGATGCTGACCACTCGCCCATCTGACGTGGTTCGCATACCGGACGAAGAGCCAAAACCTGACAATCTGAATCTGTGTTTAGACAAAAAACACGGGGCTGTTTTAGCCGCTCTTCTTGTTTATCTGTGTGAGACTTTAGAGGAAGTTCTGTTGAAGCTATAAATAAGAAAAGGCGGCATTATCTTGTACCCACTGTCTCTGAAGTCGCCACCAAACAATACTGTCGATTTATCGTAATTTGATCTCTTTGTATAATCCTATTTTTCTCAGGATTAAAACCTGACAGAGTCTGTTTTTGCTGCATGAACATGTCTGTACAATACCGACAACAAGAAGTGAAGCTTGAAATCATTTACCAGACTTTAACAATCACATAATCAGATTTCAGAAACTTAAAATAGCTCAGTGACCAAAATGCTTTTCCAAAAGTTTATTTTTATCTTTTATAGGAGTTGTTGTTTTATACTTTTAAATTCTGAGTACAGTGAGGTCATGTCCTGACTTTTTGGGGGGATTTGAGACCAAGACTGAAACTGTGACGTTCACACATTATGGAATATAAAAAAAGCTATTTCTACATAATAAATATAGTTAAATATATTGTTTCAGTAACTTGTGTCACTTCATTGACTCACTCGAGTCCACTGTGGCGGTTCAGTTAGTTGCTCCCTACACTTATATCTGAATAAAATAAGTAATTATTCTCTTAGTCACTGGTTTTGTTACAGTTCTGACAATCTCACTACAGGGATAGAGTTTATTTGAAGTAAAAAGATACAAATAAAAATAGAAGATCAAACAAAGTATTTAAATATTTACAAGTTCAAACTAATTATTTACATATAAGATATAGAAACACCTTAATCCTGAGAACAGGAGGTCAAACCTGCCACACCTACTGCACACGTCCCAAGAGGAGAGGGAGAGACCTCTATCTCGTCTAACTTCCCAGAAATTGTCAACAGGACAACAGGACATCCTTAATGTCAAGCACTGTCACATGGTCTTCATCGAGATGACTGCGTCTGGGTCACATGATGACATATGAGACATCCCCATAGTAAGTGAGGAACACCATCCTCTGAAGAAGACCATGATTCACAGTTAAAAGCCTCTAAATAGTGCTAATAAATGGACATTGTGTTCAAATTATTGGCTTGAACTAAAGAAAATCCTCGACAGAATGTTACAAAGAAGGCTTTAAAACTGCATTCAAACTTTAATTTTGAGGGGGTGGATTTGTAATCCTGACCGTGACCACACAATAAAGGTTTGTGTCTGATCTGGAATCAAAGTCAGTGGTAACAACTAGAGGCATTGCTAAGGGGCGACAGAGACCTTGTATATTTAAATGAAGCTGAACGGCCCTGAGAGGACAGACTAGGACAGGATCCATTCACTCACCAAACAAGAGCTGTAATCCACCTAAAGGCCTTTTGGCGAGCAGTACAGCACAGTGAGCGCTGCTCCGAGTGTCGTCACCGCTCTCTGATTTGTTTCGAAGGTGACACTCCGAGGATCACCAACCACCTGAGGGAGTTTACTCATAACAACTCAAACCCTCTAAGAGCCTTTTCTCAGGATCACTCTGAGGGTGTCTTTCCTTCCAGCTGTAGAGTCACTGCAGTTGTTTCACAGCACACATACAGCGTACTGCGCGTGGGTTGCAGGGTTGGTTTTTCTGTTTAAGATTTAAGTGAGAGTTATGTAAGAGGCATTAGATCACACTGAGTCGGCATGTGAATATTGCCTTTTTTGTGTGAGTGTGTTGGATCGTCTTCAGCTGACAAACATGACTGAGCTCCAGGAGATGCAACCTTGTCTGAGAGGGACGGCTGCAGTTAATCGTTAATATGAGCTGCAACTAATATTTTTTTCACATTACTAATTATCCATTTACTCTAACATAAGAAACTTCCCAAACACAAAGATGATGTCTTCAAATAGGTTTGTTTTTGTCCAACTAAAAGCCCAAAACACAAAAATATTAAATTTACAATATAGAAAAAAAGGGAAGTGGTGTAATTAATAGCGAATAAAGCTGCAACTAATAGTTTTTCTCATTACTGATTAACTATTTAGTCTATACAATGTCTGAAAATAGTGAAAAATGCCAATCATAAGTTCCCAAACACCAAGATTATGTCTGCAGACAGGATTGTTTTTGTCAGACTGACAGTCCAAAACACAAAAATAATACACCTGCAACAAAGAAAACAAGAAATCCTCACATTTTATAAAGCTGAAACCTGTAAATGTTTAATATTTGTGATCGATAAATGACTTAAAACATCAAACATACTTTAAGTTTGTGTTTACATGTCATTAAAATATGTATTTGATCAACTCAGGAAGCAAATTTGTTTAAGAATTCAAACATTTTAAAACAATCTGGTACGAAAAGTTGGACTTTCCCCTTAAACAATAAGAATAAACTGATCTAATAATCAGCTCTGTGTCTGTTTGGACTTTACAGACTCTAATGTTAACTGGCAGGGCCCCTTCTGTTGAAGCCTGAGAGTTAGGGGACACTCACATCACAGTTGATCTGGATGCTGCATCAATGACAGAAACACAAGGAGAGCTGTGGTGCAGCTGAGGCTCCAGCTGATCCCCCTGCACCCCCCCAAACGCCATACAGTAGCACCACTCTTACAAAACAACACAGCGACCTGAGAGGCTTTGTGAGGTCGCAGTTTGAGGATAATTGAAGTTTCATTCAGACTTTGGGCTTTAATGAGCACATAATCCTTTTCACCTGATCCCTGCCGGCCGAAATGAGGTGAAATACTTTGTTCCACATGGTCGAGAAGACAGGCTGCGTGGAGCCATAATGTCATTATGATCCTCTCTTCTTTTGCTGTTTTATCTGGTTAGTAAATATCAGTGGTGGAATATAACTAAGTACATGTACTCAAGAACAGTTTTTAGGTACTTTACACTCCAAATACTGTACACCACAACATCTGTCTTACAGCTTTAACTTGAAGATTCATATTATTACTGTAATATAAATATAGATCAACTAAAACATTATGATATATTGAAGTAGATTAAGCTGTATAAAGTCTTTAAAATGAACATTAAAGTGACGCTTACACCTGAATGCATCACTAATTATTATCCAATAATATAAATTATACATGTGACTCTGAAATGGGCCATTCTGAATAATGACTACTTTTGGTACTTTAAGTAAGATTTTGAATGCAGGACTTTTACTTGTAATAGATTACTTTTACACTGTGGTATTGTGCTACTTTTACTTAAGTAAACTAACTGAATATTTTTCATATATTATATATATTCAATATATTTCTGTAGTTAGTCAGAGTTTTGACACTTAAATGTCATCCACAAATTAATTCTTATAGAGGAAATATCAAAGAATATTTTATTAGTTTAGTTTATTGTCTAAACTTGGGGTGGATTTTGTAGTTAAACAACAATCTCAAATGACCATGAACACTTCACCGCTCTTGCTAGCAGAGCTTGCAGGCACGTTCTGCTGAGGGTAATTACCCAGGATTCATTGCAATATGGACATAATAAAGTTTTTTCAACTGCTGAGAAAAAAAACAAAAAACAGACAGAACTTATTATAAATGTGTAAAACGATGACTTTATTCAAACTTTACTTGAATTAATTCAGGTCAGAAATAATATTTTAACCACATCATTGACTTGAGGCCTCAGATCCAGTTTCACACCCGTCACAAACTTCACGTGACGACGGCGAATACGTCACAGTATGTACGACTGAGGGTGGATATTTGGATCCAGTCTCTCTCTTGGGACACTTGAACCGAGTGCAGCCGGTTCATTTGCGTGTGCAGTTGTAATTCAGTAGATGGATCATACACTAAGAAGTTTTCCGGTACATCATTTTCCCACCATGCAGACTGAGTCAGCCTCTTAACGCTGCACAGCACCCAGTGCAGGATGTTCTCTCTTTGTGACTCTGAGTCAGCTTCTCAGCTTTTTCTTAATGTCTGCCACCCC